TTACTGCTGTCTTTCAGCCACACCCCTGATCTTCTGGTAGGAAAGATCTACACCTAGCCTTCTCAGACATGGGCGAAAATCTCGGAGGGCCCGTGTGCAAGTTGCGCACGTTAAAGATCCCCTGGTGGTCTAAAATCGATAAGAGTTGGCTTTGGCCGCCACCCGGGCAAAATTCAAAATTTCCTACCAACTGAAAATATTGGGTGTGTCCCGCGCGCTCCTATGACCTTATGCAGTTGCAAGCGCCGTTAAACACTTTACAAAAAAAAATAATTAACGAATTGAAAATGTTTACAACATACAAAATTGGCAAACACGGAAAAAGGCTCGCAAAAAGTAATGTTTACAGTAGTATTGTATACCAACAAATAGTGCAACGAACAATATTATTATAGCAGCTAAAAGTGTCAATGACAAGTTATCAGCTTTTTCATGGAGACCTTCTTGTCCTCTTTGCTTAATACGTTTTACTCCTTGTTTGAATAAGAAAAAAAAACATTCTCAGAGTAATTAGAATAAGTTGTGAGGCAGCGTGGTGGAATCAGGCTCTCGTCAATTTTTGGGCATGTAGAGGTATTGATATCATCTGAAAGCTTGTTCACTTGTCTTTATTTGGATGAAAAAAAATATCCATTTATCTTGAATACAAGTCGAGATATTTGCGAAAGAAGTAGGTGGGGGTCACCTGTTTTCAGAGGTAAAATTAGTGAGAAAATGTCGGCAAAAGATTAGTTATTTCCTTAGCATAAGAGTGTGTGGTAACTGAAAATTTACATTTGTTGTGCCTTTATTCAACGTTTTTCAGAAAAATCCACACAGCATTGAGTTCTTTAATGAGTATGAAAGATGTTGAGCCAAAAAAACAAAAATTTGATAAAAATTTACAGACCTGCGGAAAAGGGCACGTTTCTTCACTTTGATTATTTTGACGAGAGCCTGATTTCTCCACACTGCGTCACATTTTGTAATGTAGGTGATCTACGCTCCTTCCAATGTACATGTATTTTAGGTTCTGTTGGAGGCAGGCTTCAACGCTGTCTGTTGGGGACAACCAGGGCAATATTTCAGCAGACGGACAGAAGACTCACTTGCTCACTTGTGCTGAAAGGGATACAACGTCCAAGCAAAAAGACCTTGATATTCGATAAAAAAAAATGTCCCCACTCGGGAATCGAACTCATATTTTCTGAGTGCGGCAGCGAAGCACCTAATCACTACACAAGAGATACTGGCTTCAGAAAAGATCTCTCAACATTTTTCCTTTTCTTTGTATCTAAAATCTAGCGCACACTGCCAATCGAATTGAGTCGGGGCCAGACAGTTTTTCCTTCTTGGAGGGGCAAAAATCTTCCCTTTTTGGCACATTTTAATCAAATGCTACAAAATCAAACATATTTGTTTCATTAATGATTTAATCAAATTGTACAAGAAATGGCAACTGTTGTTCCTCCACAAAGAAATATCGCGACCTGTCTTGGGGGAATCAAATGTGTCCAATGTATTAAACGTATCAAATGTAGCAAATGCAGCAAATGTAGCAAATGTAGCAAATGTAGCAAGTGTAGCAAGTGTAGCAAATGTAGCAAGTGTAGCAAGTGTAGCAAATGTAGCAAGTGTAGCAAATGTAGCAAGTGTAGCAAGTGTAGCAAGTGTAGCAAGTGTAGCAAGTGTAGCAAATGTAGCAAGTGTAGCAAATGTAGCAAGTGTAGCAAATGTAGCAAATGTAGCAAGTGTAGCAAATGTAGCAAGTGTAGCAAATGTAGCAAATGCAGCAAATGCAGCAAATGTAGCAAATGTAGCAAATGTAGCAAATGTAGCAAATGTAGCAAATGTAGCAAGTGTAGCAAGTGTAGCAAGTGTAGCAGATGTAGCAAGTGTAGCAAATGTAGCAAATGTAGCAAATGTAGCAAGTGTAGCAAG